AAAAAAAAAAACATAAGAAGAGACTTGTATAGATATACATATGTATATGAGTGTGTATACCTGTGTACAGGCAAAGCAAAGGCCTAATTGCAAACAGGGGATTCCCAGGATTTTTAAAATGGGGTGGCACAGACCTCCCCTAAACCTAACCTAACAGCATGACAAGGTTTTAGTAATAAAAAACACTTTGTTAGGTTTAATTGTTTAAAAAAGCACCTGGTCAGGTTTTGATAACCAAAATAGCAAGTGATGTACAGATGGCAATTTTTTCTTTATGATTATGATCATCATAATCATAAAGGTTTTTTTCTTTCTTTTCTTTTTTTTTTTACTGAGAACTGTAGTTGACAGGATATTTGACAGGGAGAATCAACTTTTCTTTAATGCAAAAAAATTTCATAGTGCATTAAGGAAATCTGATCACTTATTTTACTAAGTTACAGGGTCCTATTTCCCTGTGCACTGCTAAAAGAAAGAGATACAGATATTTAAATGAAGATTAGCTTGTGTACACCCACTTTTTACCACACATTTTGAAACATTTTGAAAATGTAGGTGTGTGGAAACGATTGAGCAGTAGCAATTAATGAGTAATTACTCTAACTTATAATTTTAACAGATAACCTTTCTCTTATTAGTCACCTTGGCCAATGTGTGATGTAGAGGAATAAGAGTATAGCTTGAAGAAACTTTAATTAACTCCTATTTAACATGTTAGCAATGATATTCTGCACTGAGAAGAGTCATGAATGCAGAACCATTAGCACTTACTGGGTTTGATAACACAGGCAAGTTCCGCATGTAAGTTAACAGACTTTTCATTTTACAACTGCAATCTAAAGGTCTTATTCAACTTACTTTTGGCTCAGTAATATTCTTTCATCTGTAACGTAGATGTATTGCAAAGACTTCTCAGAGTAGTCCCTGCACATAAGTTCAATAATTTACATATAGAGAGTTGTTTTTCAAAGCAAATACATGTAATTTAATTTCAAAAATGGATAAATATCATGAAAATTTAATTCAGATGAAAAATAAATGAAGGGAGAGGTGGTGTAGTTAGAGAGACAATGCTGTCTGTTATTGAGTTGGGCTGTAGTTACGTGGATTTGTATGCCTCAGCACACCTGGACCACCATGGGCCACCAAACCCGAGCTCAAGCGAACTGCTAAAAAACCCCAATGAGCGATCCAGAGAGAAAAGCAGCTGCAGGCAGTCTTTAGCTCCTCTAGGTCAGCTGCAGATACTGTATTTTACTTCTTCTTGATTTGGAAAACAGACTAAAGTGCTACATTGTGAAAAACTGAATTGAAACATGATGTACATAGTGCTGAGTTATGCAGAACTGAATTTTAGAAGACACAACGAGTAGGAATGGGTTAATATTTTGTTTAATTATTAAACAAAGAACTTGTTAGGAAATACGGCTTTTTGAAAAGGTCACTTAGATGCAGCTTTGTGTCTCTATAGTTTACATTTTGAGTAAAGGTGTTATTTTGTCCAATGAAAAAGTTTGTTTGGACACAGTTTAATTTTTTTTATTTTTGGCAGCAGGAAGCTGGATCGAGTCTGTGGGCTGTATTTCACACTCTGTGCTCTAGTTTCAAGTTATTGACTTGAGGCACTTTTAGTCTAGAGTTGTATTTCCTGCATTTCTAAGAATCATTTAATTTTAGAAGTTGTGCATGATGTGTAGTATACGAGCACAAAATGTTAAGATGTTAAATACTTGCTAGATAATATCTGGTAATGTTATTTTGTAGCTTTTGTACTACTAGTATTATTGCTGTTGTTTTTGTTTGTTTGTTTGTTGTTGTTTTTTACTGCTCCTGAAACGTCTTGTGAAATTGTTTAAGTCCTCTATCTTGTAGGCTGTCTGGAAGCATTTTTGTTCTATCCCAGACACACACATTCATTTTTATTTATTTTTAACCATTTTTAATATCCTCATTCAAATATATAATTTTACATGAAGTTGGTAATCTCATCTCTCATCGAATGGATACTGGGACATTTTCCTGCACCAAAAACTTCACGGAGAGGAGTTTGGACATGGACATGTTTTACCACACCACAAAGTAAAGTTGGATTTACGGTCTGTCCGTACTGCATGTCAGATACCAGATTGGTTTGGCTTTCTCAGGCTGCAAGACAATGTCATCTGATGAAAATATGTGGACTGACTGAAGATGAGCCAAAAGCATGTTTTCTTTTGTTTTTTTTTGTTTTGTTTTTTTTGTTTTTTTTTATTGCTAACCTTAATATTTTTTTTTTTTTTTTTTTATTTTTTTGCATTACCAATTGCATTGCCTACCAGATCAACAAGGAGTGTATCGTTTGTTTTTCTTTGAGAAGTAATGTCTGGATATAATTTTTATTGAAGATATACTTTTGCAATCTTTTTGGATAATACAGTCAAAGGTTGGGTAATATTTTCAAATTTTCTAAATGGCATCACCATTTAAATACCTGAATGTTGATACACAACTTAGATTATAAGTGTACATACATTCATGGACATAAATGTCAAATCAATATAACGCTGTCAGTAATTTATGAGAAATGTAATTTTTTTCTGGGGCTGAATGGCTGCATAACGTATATTAGGGCTGCTCAATTAATTGAATTTTAATCTCAATTACGATCTAGGGTTTCAACGATCATTAAAAATGACTGGGCCGATTATTAGCCCCTCCCTCGTGCTTTACTCTCGCGCTGCTCCGTGTGGCAAATCGAGCGCACCTCTCTGCATTTCGAACACGTGTCACAACAATTAAGAGCAGCGGTCCCCAACCTTTTTTGCGCCACGGACCGGTTTATGCCCGACAATATTTTCATGGACCGGCCTTTAAGGTATAGCGAATAAATACAACAAAATAAAACTAGTACCGGTACCGAAAAAAAGGAAATTTATTCATAACACACGTGAAAAGACCAAGGAAAACCGAGTAAATGATTAAAAATGATAACAAAATAACGCTGAAAACCGATAAAAACCCTGAAAACTATACATTTCACACCTGAGCCTCAACTCTCGCGGCCCGGTACCAAACTACTCACGAACCGGTACCGGTCCGAGGCCCGGGGGTTGGGGACCGCTGATTAAGAGGACCCGAGGGAAGTTCGGAAAGCTAAGCAGAAGTTATTTGGAGAGGAGAGTGACTGCTGTTGGTTGAAAAGAGAGGAAAAAAAAACTTCAGTGGTGTGGAAACGTTATGGGTTCGCGGAGTCAGACGTGGATCAAGTAGACATAGTGTGTAAACTTTGCTACATTGTCGTAGCTGCACCACAGAGCAACACTGCAAAGTTCACTAAACATAGATGTTTACATTTTTCATTTATTTTTTATATTGCAAACATTTGCGCTGTTATCAGTATTTGCACACTATTTTATATTATTTTTTGACAATCTTTAAAGTCATTATTCAATACATTGTTATTGTTAAATAAATATCGTCAAATAATCGAGATCTCAATTTCAGTGAAAATAATCGTGATTATCATTTTTGCCATAATCGAGCAGCCCTAACGTATATCTTTCATAGTAAAACAGTCAAGAATTTGGTGCCAAATATTTTGTCTATATTTGGGGTTTTCTGAAATGTGACCGTATACCTGCTTACATTTTAGTAGCAGTGAAAGTTTGAAAAATTCTGAACTTGTCAAGGCCAAGGTTATAATTGTGTCAGAAAGGTTTGGTTCACAGCACTCATTGGTAGAAGCTAATACACAGTAAAATGGGGAATTCCCAGGACATCACTGGAGATCTGAAGAGGATTATAGGAGTACACAAGTGAGAAATGTGTCTGAGCCCTTTCTAAACCATTGCAGATTCTGGCATCATCAGATGGAATGGAATAGAATAGATTCAATTATATAAGTCATTGGGAACTGTACATACTTTGTTAAGATTTGAAAAAGACCCGAAGGACACCATAAAAAGTTGGTTTGAAGAGTCAAAAACCACCAAAGCACAGCTCTGCCATGGATTGGGAGCTGACAGAAGATCATTGCTGAGCAAGTTTTACATCACCATTGACCGAGAGGCTGCGTCTGAAGAGAAAAACCACTGCAACAAAACCAATACTTTTAAAATCAGTTAATGTTGATAACCTACCAAAAGGACAAAGAAGACTTTGAGAGATTTTTTTTTTTTTTTTATGAACAAGCATTGAGCTGTTACTGCCAGTGAAGCTGGTACATCGAATTAGAGTGGATATAATAATGAAAGAAACAGACTACTGAAGAATTCTTTAGCAACTCCCCAAACCATTGTGCAAAGTTTCGACAAAATCAGATATGTCAATAGGGCTAGTTTTGGAACAGGCTAGCTACTAAGCTTTTGGAATGGCCTTTTCAAAGTCCTGAGCTTCAGCTGATAACAAATTATGTGGACTATACTTGAAAGTCAGATTTTTGCCAGGGAAGAAATTATTTCAAACAAAGTAGTAAAATTTGCAAACAGAATGATACTACAAAAGCATAGGTGTTCTGAATGTATATGTAAGAAAACCTTATATGAATTCAATTTTGCGCACAGATTTTTTTTTTTTTTACTCTTAAAAATGTACGTTGCACAGTCATTCTGCCCCAAAAAAGCTCAGATCAAATTATTCAGTGATTTATAATGATGTTCTCTAAAGTACAAATTGTTTTTTAAATTTTTGTAGTCAATCTGCTGGTGGTAAATGAGTTTGCCTGCATTTTTTTTTCTGTTTTCTGACCTTGTTTTCTCTTTTTATCTGACCTTTGATGTTTGTGCTTCCTCTGTTTATTTCTAGTAGTAAAGATCCTGATATTGTAATGATAAATTTATATTTGGCAGGAAGCAACAGAGTGAACAAATCCAGACAAGACCTTCCAGATGGATTTCACCCATCCAGGAAGCTGAAGCCCACACCAGTTCAAAAACTTTTTTTTTTTTTATAATTTCTCAGTTTTGTAATTGCTATTGAAGATTTCCCTTCTCCCACACCCAGGATCACCATCAAACCACATACTTGAAGTTCTCTAAAGGATCTCTCTACACACAAGACTTCGTGATTATGGTTGCCTGACTGAATGGTCACTTTACATTTTGCACGAGCTCCACATTGACAATGACCTCCAGCATACCTACTTTGTAAAAAAACCAAAACAAAACACTCAAACACCCATTCCATTGACTGCTGTGGCCATCCTTGACTTTCTGAACCATGTCCCATCCCCTTCATAACCCCTATAATTTTGGGATAGAAAGTTCTGCGCAGTGTCGAAATGCGCTTAGCTCTTCTGGAGCATCCTCTGGAACTTCTGACACTACGTTGGGAACAATTCCTTCACTGCGTGCTTTTCCAGTGAGCTACACCCCCCCACAGAGTAGTTCTATTTTAGATGGAGGCATGAAGAGATCTACAGAAATGTATCTTGGTCAAGCCAGGACAGAGATGAGACAGCAGCCTGTTAACCAGGCCCCTTGCTTTACCAGCACTCAAGAAGACAAGTTTATTTCTTCAACTGCAACGGTTGCCTCCAGTCCAGTGTGCTCAGCATCTCAAAGACACTCTGATTTTAAAAGTGGGCCTTGCTCCTTGGACTGGTCAACCTATAAGAAAGCCACTGAAAATGTTTCTTCTAGATTTTTTTCATCTACTTCACTGAGCTTTCAAGGCAGTGGTGAAAGAGAACAGGATATGCAGTCCATTCCAGGCTTAGGTGATTCTGACTATCGAATGCAAGAGAAACCTGTGCTCAATACTGATTCCAGTTACCCAAAGTACTCTTCACAAGAAGCTTCTAACATCCTTTTACGTTTTGGACTTGAAAAAGATGACTTGGAATATCTGATCTCCTACCCTGAAGACCAGATAACCCCTGGCAATCTGCCTTTTATCTTAAGGCAAATCCGCATGAAGAAGGCTGAGAATGTTAAACCTATTGTTCATTCAAAAGCCTGTCCTGAACCTCAACCCACCCCCAGCATGACCGTAATGGACAGGTTCAGAAGGGAAGGGATGCAACAGGGCGAATTGGCACAGATTATCAAACCAAGTAAAGTGATTGACTATGGACATACTAGCAAATACGCTGGAGGGTTTGGCAGTGATATAGGAAAGAGCAGTGAAAGTAGAGCTAACAGTAGTGAGAGTGGCAGTATGTTGCTCATGGACACTTGTGATGGTGACAGTTGCAATAGAGAACCACTGCAAGAAGGTACGGCAGAGGTGAAAACCAGCACCTTGGTTTCTTCACATGACCACCGGGGTACTGTTTCCACTAATAGTTCAATGCAGAGCTATGAGCCTCCTCCAAGCAGGAATCTAACTCAACGATTGCTGACTCAGCCACACCAGGCATCTCAAGAAATCATCAGCTCTTTCTCTCTGCCAAAGAAAGACACAGACTTAAGACTTCTCAAATTCAAACCAGTTCCTTTGAAAGAACCAGAGCCAGATTGCCATTTGGCATTAAAAATCCAACCACCTCTCAGTCATATTGCACGTGGTGTGCATCCTGATCAACCTGGGCTTGTGTTCATCGGCAAGAAGGATAACAGCTGCACCAAGGATCAAAGTAAAAGTCAACAACAAGTGCCAAAGGTTGCTAAACCCATAAACAATCAGAAGATGCACCAAAGGCAGATGCAGCAGGAGCTAAAGAAACAGGCGGAGCAGCAGCAGGACCAGAAACAACCACCAGTGCAAATGGGACAATGCCAGTCTGCAAAACCAGCTACTCCTCTAGCACCTCAGATAATTCCTAAACCAGTGAACTTCGTTTATATGCCGCTGCCACTTTCCAGCACGCAGTGTCGTGCAGACAGGGAGCTATCAAAAGTTCTGCCAGCGTTGGCCATGATGCAAGACTATGCTGCAGCCACACCACAAACCTTTCCACATACCTGTTCTCTGTGTTTGCAAAAATGTACTGGTATGAAGGTGAGTGGAAGACCGTACTCTCTTCTGTCTCCATTTAGAACATTACGGGTATTTATTTCTGTCTATCATTTTGGTTAATTTTAAAAAGAACCAAAAAACCAACATTAATTTATGAAACAACCTCCTTGCTTCCAAACTTTACGACTGCTTTTTTAAATGTAAATTTCTGTAGCATATTCTTCTGATCTGTTATTTAAGTCTTTCCACCTTGGACACATACAAGACTTGTGAAGTAAATGATTTCTGTCATATTTCAGTCTAGAAGAAAATGACTGGGTGTGCATCAGTCTGCTCATATAGCTTACTAGAGCTGCCTCTTGAAAAAACTGGAACATTTTATAATGGTTCTCAAACAACATCTTTGTTCATATATGTTGACATGTCAAAACATGTCACTTAGGGCACAAGGGAGATTGCCAGATGTTGTATTTATGGGGAAAATAGTTAAGATTGGATTATCCGAGCTGCGTTAGTCTCTGAAAGTAATTCATAGTTACCCTTTTTCTAATTTAATTTAACAATAATGGCAAATTAAAAGTTTCTGCCCAACAAAAAGAAAACGATAAGTGAAGATAAAGTGTCTGCAAATCTGAGGAACATGGGCATCAGAAAGATGACTTTTCCCCCTAATTCATATTTAGTTTACAGCCATCCACTTTAGAACAGTTACTGTCTTAAGAAGAGTAGCAGTCATCTTGCAGTGACAGTCATTGGTTGAGATTGTGAAGCAAAATTAAGATGTTCTATAGTATGCTGCAAAAGTCTTGAGCCCCTTGCATTTCCTTTCCAAGGATCCAGAGATGCAATTGTTATTGCAAATGGTATTGAGCAATAGTTCTCCAGGCTTTATGAAGGACTTTCAAAGATTGTCTTTGGACATTGGCTGCTTTTTCACTCATTTCATTCCAGTTCTTGTACCAAACAATTTTCAGAGGAATGTTTTTTGTTTGTTTGTTAAACCAGTTAACACTGATCTATGAATGATTCAATTAATAAAAAAAAATCCAGCAAGCCCACAGGTTGAACCACTAGTGTGTCTACACAAAACCAATAACTAGGCAACTAATTCTTTTTAAATTGTAATTTTACGCACTTTGTTAGCTTGTTGCAGAAATACATTTTTAGTTAAATACATATAAATTGCCAAAGATAACACTTTCTGACCACTGCAGAAAGTGTAGTGGTTTTGCGCCAAAAAGATGATTCCAAAAGAGCTATTAGCCAAAACCTTAGCATGTGTCCTTAAAATATTTTGAGGAAGCTGGACAAGTGCAAGAAAAGAGAAGTGACAGTGTTGAAAAACTATTTAAAGCAGATAAACAGTACCTGAAAGTCATGTCCTTCAGAGACGGGGGGAAAAAAAAAGACCTGCAACATGCATGTGGCCCTTCGGTTGAACAATCTCCTGTTCACTGAAGCCTCTTCATGGTCTCAGTGGAAGGGTGGCTGTCAAGAACCTTTTTTTAATAACATCTGGTGGTCAGAGGGCCAGGTGGCGCCAGTGTCCGGCAGCCTCTCCTCTGTCAGTGCGCCCCGGGGTGGGTGTGGCTACAATGTAGCTTGCCATCAACAGTGTGTCAATGTGTGTGTGACTGGCTGGATGACTGAATGTAGTGTAAAGCGCTTTGGGGTCCTTAGGGACTAAGTAAAGTGCTATACAAATGCAGGCCATTTAACAATTTACCATTCCAAATATTGGTATCCAGATGTTATTAAAAACTCTTGTCTTGCCCTCATAAAGTTTATTTCTATCCGATTGTTCAGTCTGACGTCACTAGCCGTGTCTGGGTCTAAACTCCGCTGCAGGTCCATATATCAAACGATCACTATGGCATTACTGAGAGTTGAAAAACTGTCTAAAGTCTTTCATCTTTAATAAAATGATCAGCGTTCTGCTCTACCAGGTGTAACAATTGAGTTTAACATCCAGGCATCCATGAAAAACGGAATTTATGACATTTAACGGAGTTAGAAGTTAGCAGGGAGTTAGCTCGCTAGCTTCTATCTAAATACAATATAGCATGTCCTGACTGCGGGGTTTTGGAAACAAATTCAAACGTACAGCTCTGTTATCACTTCCAGCATAAATGAAGACAGAAAACTAAACAGCAGTGACGTTTGTAGGGTTACTGAAGTTTGGGCTAGCTGGTATATAATGATGTGCTACGTGACCGCTAGCGACACAGCTATGTTAGCATAATATAAACAAGCTAACTTTTTTTCCACTCGATAAAAGTTAACGTGAGTGTTCTCGGTGGTCAGGAACAAATGTAATCGCATGGCAGGATGCTGTAAAAGGACCAAACTTCAGCCAGGAGAACAACTGAGATAATCCATCCACAATACGAGGTTAGTCATTCATATACTGCTGCATGGGCTGGGCTGTAGTTACATCCTAAGGTTTTAAAAACTGAGCTTAAATAAATGATTAGTCGGTAATAAAAGCCGAGGGAGGTCAACAGGGATCACTGACTGTTTTAGGAGCTTTTTGAGATCAAATAGAAGAAAATACATAAACATTAAACATGTTAACAACACAAAAGCCATATTAAACGCAGACTACTTTAGGCCCGGAAGTAGGATTCGTCGCGTCATCACTGAACAACCGGATATTGCTTGCAGACTTTCAGTGAGTCCTTGTAGTTACTTCCTGTTTTAGTATAAATAAACAAGGGGTTCAAGACTTTGGCATACTACTGTGCTATAAAATGAAAACCCCCAATGCGAGACCTTTAGAAAAAGGGGGATGGGTCTTCTTCTTTGACTGCCCAAACACCAATTACAGGTGGGGGTTTTTTTGTTTTTGTTTTCCATCTCCATCCAGACCTGACGTCCTGCTGAAATGACGTCAAACCTCAGGACTCATTTTTATTGACACATTCACACATAGGACAGAAGAGACCTATGTTGCAGAATCAAGAGTCCTGCAAGACTTTTTACATTTCTGTATTTGTTTTGTTTTGTTACTAAATCCATGACTGTGGTCTTCCATGCCATCCTATTTGGTGTCGTTTATAAATATGCTAAATTATTCAATCTTTATGGATTTTGTCTTTATAGATTTATCATACTTGTATGTACATTTATTGCTTTCCACTATGGCTTATGAACAGTCAGCTGATGTCCAAACTTTGAAAGAAGTCTAAAGGCTGCTGTGAATGTTAAGTACATTGGTTGTCAGATGGTTAGAAAAAACGTCACCCGAGCGGTTGTGGTTAATAATACTTTTGCTATGACAATGAGGCCTATCTAAAATGTTTGTTCTGACTACTAGGAATGGCTCCTTCACCAGAATACCAGCTTTCACCTTGACAACTGCAAACTTCTTCGGAAACGGTCAGTCTTTTCTTCTTTTAACTTTTTCTTTAACTGGGGATGTCTGAACACGTTTTGGCCTAACGTTTCAGTGGATTACTGAACAGAATGAGTGGTTGTAACGTTATAAAGTCTTTCGTAGCATTGTTCCTGATGCTTTGGAGTTAGTTGTTTAGATGGGTAGTATATCCTCTATAGCAGTGGTCCCCAACCTTTTTTGCGCCACGGACCGGTTTTTGCCCGACAATATTTTTCACGGTCCGGCCTTTAAGGTGTCGCGGATAAATACAACAAAATAAAACAAGTACCAGTATCAGGGGGAAAAAAAAGAAGATTTATTCATAACACACCTGAAAAGACCCAGGAAAACAGAGTTAACGATAAAAACAACAACAAAATAACGCTAAAAACCCTGAAAATCATACATTTCACATCTGAGCCTCAACTCTCGTGGCCCGGGGGTTGGGGACTGCTGCTCTATAGGTTGTTGAAGAGGTAGTCAAAATCAGTTTTAAAAATTGTAAGGTGAGCTACTTTTCTCAAGCAACATTGTTAATAGGGTTGATCTGCCAGGGTTAATTGATCCCTCGAGAAATCATGCTTTTAAGATTGATTTGTAGTTGCAGAAATCTACATTTTTAAAACATTTGCTGTTTTAATAGATTTTTGATTTCCCTTATATTGTTATATATATATTTTTTATTTTTATTTTTTTTGACAGATATCCACAGTGGGATGGTAAAGTACTGACGTACCAAAGGTAAAAGTCTTTGTCTTTTGGGAAATTAAAAGTACAGCAGCTTTGCAGGGTTTTGTTTGTTTGTTTTTTTTACAGTTATTTATAGTTTCTTTTTTTTAAACCTCTGTTGCTCTTATTAGTGCTTCAAATACAGGGAAGAAGTCCTCGTCCTCCACCTCTGGCAAAACTTCCCAGCATCGTCATCAGAAAACCAGGCGTGAGAGTCATTCCCGTTCACGCTCACACAGCCCACGTCGCCGCCTTGGTTTGGATGGCAGAAGGCCTAAACATGGAAGCTATTTATGCTCTCGCTCAAAGAGCCCTCACCACCACTACAGCTCTGGGGAGAGAAGAGAGAAACTCAGTAGTGGATCACAAACGCCAAACAGCTCCAGACGTGCTCGCAGGTCCGATTTAAAAAAAATAAATAAATAAATAAATAAATAAATAAATAAATAAAAGATTTCCATTCCAGTGAATTGTATCATGACATCAGTGTTAGGTTTGACCTTTTTATCCTTACTGGATTTGTAATAGAAATATTTCTTTGAGGTATTTCATTGGCAGTTTTGAAAATGTCCTTATTGAAAGGATCGAAAAGGGTCAAGAGGAGCAAAAAGGCATGTTGGACACAGTTCATGCCACAAATGTTCCACCCAAACCTAAAGCTTCAGAAAATAAGCCTGATGAGACCTTCAAGACTCCCAAAAGTGATACAAATGTTCAAGAATCTGCAGTTATGCCGGAAGACAGAGCAAGAAATGCGTCTGTTTCTGAAATGAAGCAGCAGACAGAATTAGCCAAAGCTGAGACAAAAGAGGCCAGTCATACTGAACCACTTTTTGAAAAATATGTTTGATTTATACTTTCTAGGTCCCGGTCTCGTTCCTTCTCCCCACGGAAGGACTATCTTGCCTCCTTGCATTATCAATCACATTCAAGGAGCCGTGAAAGACGATCCTCACCGAAAAGGAGAGATGGGAAACAGTTACTACAAAAGAGGAGTGATGAAAGACGATTGCTGACAAGGAGACAAGATGAAAAGCGTTTGCCGCTCAGCAGAAGTCATAAGAACGCATCATCAGAAAAGAGGCCTCAACAAAAGAAGTTGGACAGCAGTACAAAAAGACTTGCTAAACAGCTGCTGGAAACCACAGGTTTGGCAGTGTGCACATACATATAACTTAAAATATACTCATAATTAATACATTTCTCCCACTTCCAAATGTATGTTTTCATTGTCAAACATGAACAAATTCAGTATACTGCTGTGGAGTATAGTGAAAATGTTCTGTATGTGTATCTGTGTGTCTGTCTGTCTGTCTATGTGATCCATAGCGACTAAGTAAAGCGCTATACAAATACAGGCCATTTACCATTTAACTTTAAAAAATAAATAAAATAACTACTGAAATTACAGAAATTTCACCTATCTCTGTTTTTTTATAAAACACTCCAACTGACAGGATAACCTTCTCTGTTTAGACATATGAACCACCAAAGTGTGACTCTTTTTCCATCTTTGTCCTTCTAGGTCTCCACTCTTTGTCAAAAAAGTCTGACCTGGAGGCCATAGCTGAAACAATCGCTCCTGTCATACTGGCTGAGCTAGCCAAGATGAAGTCACCATTATCATTATCATCCTCTGCTTCTACATCCTCCTCAAAGAAGGCGAAGACCACCAAGTCATCTGAAAGTAAACCTGGACTTCATAAGAGTGAAGCAAGTACCTCTTCAAAGCCTAAGGTTGGTGTGTTTGCCAACAGTTAAGGAGTGCTAAGTAATATAGTTCCTTCTTTCATCCTCAACTTTTGGGTCTAAGGCACTGAGAAAATGTTTTGATCTGTGATAAAGAGAAAAGAAAGAAACAATTAAAAGAAAAGTTTTCCTTATGACTAACAGGACTCGTCGACAGACAAGGATGTGTTTGTCTACACCAAACAAATTATAAATGGAACTAGTTTCAATCATTCACAGTCAAGTCTATAGTTAGTTACTGATTTTTTTTTTTGTCTGTTTGCACAGGCTAGTAAATCTTTTACTTCAACAATGGTCAAATTACATGGGATTGTCGAAACTTTTTCTCATGAAGAAGTGGTTGCTGCTGTGGAACATTTTGGAAAAACAGAGTCCATTGTACTGTACAGGTCCAAGCTAGAGGTATGTATAGTGGGAGTAATCAGCTGATATGCTTTTGCTATAAAGGTATGTGGTACATGGAGTCATGTGAAAAAGGAAGTACACCCTTTGTCATTTCTAAGGTTTCTAAGGAAGTGTGAGCATATGGACTATTTAGGTGTGTGTTAACACAATGCCAAGGAGGAAAGACATAAGCAATGATCTTAGATAGTCAGTTGTTATTATTATCAGTCAATCTGTATTTTTAGGCTATTTATACCACTATTTGTAGTCCACCATTCTACAGTTAGAAAGATTCTTCACAAGTGGAAAATATTCATAGGCAATCTTCTCAGGAGTGGACGTTCTAGTAAATTCACCCCACAGTTAGACCGTGCAATAGTAAAAGTCCAGACCTCAACCTGACTGAAATGCTTTAATTGGACCTTATGAAGGTGGTACATATGCCCTTGACCTCAATGTATGGGCTCAAATTGTGGTCATAAATATTGTGTACTTGTAAATCAGGATTTGTATGTGTAAAAA